TTGTCTTGGGATTAGAAGGATGAGCATTTATGATTTCATCTAATCTATTTGAGGGAAGAAATGCAATGCAATTTAACTTACTGATAGAAGCCTCAAACATTGTAGCAACAGGTGGTGAGATATCTTGGTGATCGTCCTCAGCATGTATTTTTGGAAAAAGATTTTTCCTGATTCTTTTTGCTCTTTCACCATCATAGTCCTGCCAATACTTCAACAGATCTTTGAGATTGTTAATATCTCTATGTGCGAAGTCCTGTTCCACTTCAAAGACTTCAATCTCCATCCCAAGTTCATCGATTAATGTCATTCAGCTTTGTTATAACAGCTTTGTTCTCTTCCTCTCGTTCTTTGATTCTTTCTTTCAAGAGTTTATTTTCATTACTGACTTCATGACATTGCTTCAGGAGATCATCCAATTGTTGTTGAATTTGTTGGATAGAATCTTCACATTCATCTTCTGATTCTTCATCCCCTATGGACAAAAAAGATATATTTATTTTTTCGTGATTCTCATTTTTCTGTGTGACATACCTGAGATGTGGTGGTTTTGTGCATATGGTGTCTTTGAGTGTGTCTTCAGTGATTCTGCATGTTCCACATAAATCATTGTTTGTATCATCGTCACTAGCTTCACTCTCATCATCACAATCTGAGTTGTCATCACTCCATGTTGTGGCAAGTGATTTTCCTTGTTTTTTCAGAGTGTTAGCACATTCTGCCTGGATATGACCATAACCATGACACTCTCTACATCGAATTCCCTTCTTGACTTCTGGCTTATCTGTAGAAGTCCTGGGTTTTCTCTCAGAGTTTGTAGGATGTCCATTTCTTTTCATGAACTTTCCGAAGTGTTTTGCTATTAAGGACATGAATTTTGTGAACTTGACTTCAAGTGCTGTCATAGGAATAGTAGACACAGATGTTGTTGTGTCCGATACAGTTTGCAGAGCAATTTTTCTCTCCTTGTCTATTCAGCTGATGTTCAACTTGTTTTCAAAAGTTTGTAGATTTTCAATTAGATCTTCAAGTTGCAATGAGTCCACATCACTGGCTTCCTCTATAGCAGTGATCTTGTATGCGAATCGATCTGACATTGATCTGAGTACTTTTCGTACAAGTTTAACTTCAGGATAGGTTTCACCGAGGCCATGAGCTTCATTTGATATGTCACATAATTTGGAGTTAAATTTGCTCACGGTCTCATTTTCTTCCATTCGAAGATCCTCAAATCGGGTGGCAAGCATTTGAAGTTTGGATAGTCTAACTGAAGCAGTTCTCTCGTAAGTTGTTTGGAGTTTTTCCCATGCTTCTTTAGCACACTCACACGCAGAGATTATCTTGAATTGATTGATATCAATTCCATTGAATATAGCATTGAAGGCTTTGGAATTCATATTTGCTGCAATTTGTTCGGCTTTGCTCCAGTCTTTCTCATGCTTTTCAGTTTCAATCCCTTTTTCATCTAGGGCAACAGGTCATTCCACCCAGTCAACACTGTTCGCCAAGCGTCTTCATCCATTGATTTTATGAGCATCTTGATCTTAGTCTTCCAATAGGAGTAGTTGGTTCATGTGAGCAGTGGTGGGGCGAGTAGTGGAACCTCCTTCCATATGAGAACTCAGTACCTATGAATGATAAATGGCAAATAAATCAAATTCCCAAAATCACACACTATGTATATCTAGTGAGAGGCTCTTGATGCCAATTGTAGATTTATATGCCTATAAACTCAGTAATTCTTAGTTGTAACAGTTTGATTAGTCGAAACATTTTTTTAGTTACAACTGTACTTCTTGTGTTAACACATATATATTCTACTAAAGTAAATAAACAGAACACAAGAATTAATGTGGTTCAGACACAATTGTGCCCTACATCCACATGGACATGCAAACACGATTTCACTAGTTCAGATTTATAGTGTACATTAATAGGAATTAATAAAAACACTAAAGACTCCCTCTTTATGTAATATGCCGTTCTTGTACACAACTCGAACTTCGTGTATCTTCCAACAGCAGCTCCACACTGCGTGCCTAGAACTCCTTTCAGGCCTGAACTCCCTTCAGTAACGCGGTTGATCTCCCTTGAGATCTATACAGCAGATCTGTATATGTTGACACATACAACGATGGGACAGTTTTGTTCAGCATAACGTTTCAGCGATTCTTCAAAGTTATGGAGTAATTCTTCTCCCAAAAAGTGTCGGGTTCTTTGTGAGGGGAGGAGCCTTATATAGACGTGAAGTCGGCCTCCAAAGACCTACCTTCCAAAGGAATCGAATAGCTAGGAAACAAAATCCTAATTAATATCTTCTGATCTAGATAACTATAAAAGTTTCCTAACTAGAGTAGAGTACAAAGAAATAAATCTAAGTCCTAAAGTATTACAAAGGTAGGACTCTCAATTTCCAAAATAAACATGGGAACAAATATTTTCCAATCTTTACGTCCCATGTGTGGCGGATTTCTTTATCGGTAAGAATCTGACGCCAATAGAGTCCTTGCAACGAAAAAACTGCGAAATGCGTTCTAATCAACGAAGCTCTCTTGAATGGCCGACAATCGGTGAAGAGTAAAATTCTGTTAGGATCTTTTGTCGTAGAGGAACTACCTCATGAAGCATTACACGCCCTTTTAACCATATGCATTCAATTGTTGATTTATATGTTTATAGAAATTAAATTCCCAAAATTAAACACTATGTATATCTAAGTCTGGCAATCGAGCCATGTGAGCCGAGCTTGGCTCGGTTCATGCTCACATACCATCGGGCGTCGTGACTATAGGCTCGAACCCACATACCATCATGCCTCATTAGTATAGGCTCAAGTTCGGCTCATGTATTTTTTTGGATTTCGGGTTTATATCGGGCCCCGTTACTATATAACTGTAATGAGTAAAAAAAAATTATTAAAACAAGTGATGAATAAAATTTACCTCCATTGAAACCAATCCAAAAAATCCCTAGATGATCTTTGCAAGTTATTGGAAAAACTTAAAAACAAGCTTGAAAGAAGTAAAAAAAATAGTAACTCTTATCATTGGAAACCTTTTATATTCTCAAATCTCGGTGTTCAATTTCATCAATTGGATTTCGGTGGATATTTTGCATTTGATTCCTATTTTACTTATTGTTATCACCACTACTTAATTCATTTTATTTTGCAAAATAAATAATATTATACAGTTGTAACTTGTATGTTGTCATAGCATTAAAAACATAATAAATAACACAAGAATTTAATACGGTTCGGACACAAAAGTGTCCTACATCCACGAGTACCTTCAAAAAAGATTTCTCTAGTTCAGATTTACAATCTACATTAGTAGAGAGTTATTAAAATAATAAAGACTCACTACTAAAATATTATGTCGTTCTTGTACACAACTCGAACGTCTTGTTTTTTCCCATCAGCTCCTCTATCCACACTTCTTGGACGTCCTCCGAGTTTGAACCCCCTTCAGATGGCGGATGACCTCTCTAGAGATTTCTTACAACTGTATGTGTCGCCACAACAGCTACCGAAAATGCCCTAGCAACGCTTTAATACTTTGAAGTTTGATGTGTAGTTCTTCAATAGAAGTGCCAATGTTCTTTTCAGATTTGTTTGTCTTATATACACACACGAGATAAGGTCTTCAAAACCTGTACTTAAACCTAAATAAATCGAATACTAAGGAAATATAATCATACACAATTTCTTTTCTATTTTATACAAGGACAACCGAGTTACCTAACCTAAAATAATTATATGGAAATAAAATAAAGTCCTAAATAATTAAAAATATACAAAATAAGAATAGACCAATATTTACCAATCTTAATTCCATATTTTGGCAGATTTCCTCAATCTTCCACGTAAGAAATTTGGCGCCAACAATATGTATTCTAAAGAATATTTGTTATCCAATTTTTTGGATACAGTTAGTTTTTTATTTCTCATTATATTTTTATATTTTTACGGTCCCATTTTTTTTATGGAGAGAGACATAATGTAAAAACAATTCTGTATTATAAAATATAAATGTACAGCCAAAATGCCAAATGACACTGCATAATTTACAATATTGAAAGCTTACAACGGTTAAGATTTTAAGGATGCAAAGAAAATATGATTTTATATACTACGTTTGGGGTCAAAAGTGAAACGTCATTTTTGAATTTCGCCAATTTCAATTCGACATTTTTCGAATTTGGAGCAAAATTGTCATTTTCGAATTTCGCCAATTTCAATTCGACATTTTTCGAATTTGGAGCAAAATTTTCAACCTGATAGAATACCAAAATTATCAATTTTTTCGATTTTTTTTTGGATCCTATAATAGGATCCTGATTTCTAACCCAATTTTAATTTCCAAACACATACTGCAAATAATATCATTTTTTTTTCCTCCAAAAAATACACATGTAATATAAGATATTGTTATGTATTTTGTATTATAGTTGGATAAAAAATTGAATATAAGATACTTCAAATAATATCATTTTAAGTTGTATTTTGTATTTCATATCCGAAATCCTATTTTCCATTTTTCTCGATTTGTTTTAGTGGAATTGAATTTAGTTTTTTCACTTTAGGAAAATTCTAAGTTAGATCTAATTTTCGATGCTGGATCTGGAGGTGGAATTTCAAATCCGATCCATAAATAACAAATCTCTTGCAGGTATTTGATGATGTATTTCAAATCTCCGGTCCTCCTTTTAGTTATGAATTAGTTTTTCTTGTGAAGTTCAAATGATTTCGTATTGGAGTCATTCGAAATCCTTTCTTCAAATCAAATTCTTCCATCCAAATGTTGCCTTTGGGGAATTTTCTTGGAATGGAATTGAGAAGTAAATAGAAAGTAACTAAGGAAGTTGATGAGATCTGTGTATTAGAGATGAGGGATTGAAACAGTGCGTTTGAGAGATAAGGTGTACTATAATAAAATGAAACATAAATACAGGGATTAACAAAGAAATTAATTTGTCCAACAAATTAAATACACAGGAAAATTTCAATCAAGCATAAGAACCTAATTAATTAATCAACCACAATTTAAACACAAGTTAATCATGCAATTAAATATACAACAAGATAGATTATTTAATTAGAACTGTTGTATGCATCCCATGCGCACAACTCAAACTCCCCAATCTGCTGATTCTGCAAATAAATTAAGCAATATCCAAAATTTTTGTTCAGATAATGCAAAACTTTAAAATTAGGGTTAAATATATAGTACTTTTTTTAATTAATTATATTAATTAGGTCTTTAAACAGCAGCTAGCATAGAAAAAAATCAATTAATAAAATGTTTACCTGATGTGAATTACCAAGAACCGAGCTCAAATCTTGAGCAATAGTTAATGGTACAGTAGTTTCAGTACTCAGCCGTCTTTTTTGACTTGTTCTCTCTCTAGCCCTCTCTCTCGCCTTTCTCCTCGACTCTCTCGGTACAGTTGACCTAATTTTCTTTTTCGCTTTCGGTTTCGGTTTCTTTGACGAATTCGAAACAACTTCCTCTTCGCCCATTGTGGACGAGGCAGTAGTATTACTGTTAGTAGCGGCGGCACCACCCGTTACCGTAACTAGGGTAGAGCAGCTTCTGCGATTACTATCGACGGAGAGATCTCTAATGGCGGAATTCGAGCTCCGGAGCAGCCACTCGACGGTTCGGCTCGCTTTGTCGTACCCGAGCAAGTCCTGGAGGTCGAAGAACTTTCTAGCGACCTCCAGAGATAGCCTCATCCGCCTGTCGCGTGGCCCACGCGCCGTCTCGATCTTGCTGTGCCTGTCTTTCTTCTTCTTCTTAACCGTTGTCGTTGTCGTAGCAACGGTACTATTTGGAATTTGTTGGTGAATCTCTTGCCCTTGATTGTTTGAATTTTCGGGCATATTGGTAAGTATGATAGTACTGGATTGGGATTGGGATTGGGATTGGTGGAGAGAGAAGAGATCGAGGAATTGGAGGTCGTCGTAATTGTATTCGTATTCCATGTTGTGAGGGGAATTGGGGAAGGGGAATATAAAAGGGGGAGTGGAATTGATGTCATTTTCTGGAAAAGGATCGGTGGTACTACTGTAATTAGTAGGATTATTGTAGTTCATCTTGTTGTTGAAATTGATTGTACTGAACTGGAAAAAATTATCTAAATATATATACATAAGAATGGGTGTGTATTACAACCCAAAATATCAGTGGGGAAACTATTCATGCTAAAGCTGATATAGATGAATGGAACCACATATATTCCAGGAAGCTAGGTTATAGCTCATTTATGATATAGCTTTTGGTTGAGAAGGACAGCCCACTATATATTACAGTGCTCGACTGTTTCTCTCTCTACCTCTTTCCTCCTAGTGTGTATGTGTGTGAGAGAGAGAGAGAGAAATTCCCGCATGGCATAACCAACCTGGTGCTTTAACTTGAGAAGACAGGCATTGAAAGCAACTATAGGAGATGCATTACTTTACTGAAATGCTATTCATAATGCGAGCTACTTTTGCTGGTTTAATATGCGACTTTATTTCATCTGTAACTTTTTATTCAAAAGTACTCACAATTCTCTCAAACTCTCTCAAAAAAAAAAAACAAAAATCCTCAAACCATTTTCGAAATCTCGTAAATTAAACGAGCAATTCGACAAAAAAAAAATGAGGTAATTAAGACTTGAAATTCTTTACGTAAATTTAATGTTTTTTTTTGTTTAGTTAACAAATTGCATCAGTTGGAATTAGTTTAGGTCGAATTGAAAAACATTAAAAGATTCATTGGTTTCGTGCTAGGAAGCACGAAATGGGCATCTGCATTTCTTGCCCATTTTGTGTTTCGTTCTTAACACGAAGTAGAGGAATTTTGAAGTTTTTGGTTTGTTTCGTGTAGATTCACACCAAGCAGAAATTTCTGTTTCGTGTAAATCTACACGAAACAAACCAAAAACATAGTTAATTGCAACAAAAAAAATAAAATAAATAACACTATGATTATTCAAATTGTCAGAAAAATGAGAAACAAAATCAAAGAAACATAGAATGCTAACAAAAACTAATGTGTTTAGTTATGTGATTAATAAATTGTTATTTCTATTTACATGAAGTACGTTTTGTAAATATTCTCTACTTTACTTTACATTTTAGAAGTACACATAGGCCTAAGTTTTACAATGAATAAGAATCTATATATATATATATATATATATATATATATATATATATATATATCATTCTGATGATAAGAAAAATATAATATTTAACACTACATAATCATGATTGTGCTTCAAGGGCCCGTTAAGGGTTGGCATTTTCCGAGCCTTGGCCAGCCGATTTCGACCTAGAACCGGACCGTGGTCATATCTATACGGGTGCATTCCTTATATCCCATGCAAAATTGGAAAGAAAAATAATGAATCACAAATCGATATCATCGTAAATATATCCCACATTCACCACTTTAATGAAGATATAATCTCTTGCTTACTTAACTGCTTTCTAGGGTTGGAATTGTTATCAACACGTGATATGATTTGAGTGCCATTGTATATAATTGCCAGGCAAACTCTAACGTGTCACACAATGTTTTAAGTGGTTCAGTACGCGAACATATTCTTGCTCACATAATTATGTATCTATTCACATTTAATTATCTATCAAGTGAAGGGTATCACTGTAATTTTCATGAGAATTGATTGAACATGAAATGAGTTAATTACAAACGTGATTGGCCGGGTGAAACTAATTATAATCTCCTATAAACGTCGACAAGATGTTTGGAGCTTAATTAGATCAAAACATATCGTTTTCAGTTCAAAATACGAACTCGTAATTTATGTATATGATTCTTAGTTAACACTTGTTTATTTTGGCTACTAAATTTATAAATAATATTACGAACATGTTATATCATGCAACATTTTGTCCAATTCAATTTGTTTTTAATTTAGAGTAAAATTATAGGGTAAATTACGAAACCCCCCTGAACTTAGGGTAAATAACGAAAAACATCCACAGCTATCCATAGTAACCAAAATCCACCTCCAATAAACTGTTGATCGTGTTTTTTTTTTTTAACAGAAACTGTGTACTGTCTATTATACTTCTGTTAAATAGGTGAGAAATAAAAGAAAATATCTAAAATTGTGTAAAGTCTATTCACTAGAAATAAAAATAAAATAAAAAAAATCCGTGAAAAGTCACATTTTCGTAAATTTACCGAAAATTATAACACCTTATTTATGTTCAAAATATCTAAAGGAAGATGCTGATCTGTTTTCCTCAAACACACTTAAAAATGGATGAACACTAAATTTAGCAGCAATGATTGTTATTTATCCATGGGTGGGTTTAAGTGGACAAGAAGCACTTGTAATACAATTAATTGTGCGACTTCACGTGAACAAAATTGACAAAATACCGAATGAATTGAATTTGATTTCAACAATAAAAATTAATTGCATGACAAAATGAAATGGGCAAAGGTAAGGTTCCACGTGGGGTGATGACCCCAGCATATGTTACAAAGGACAATTATATGCATATATACATACAACATATATACTAGCCGAGGTCCTCCTGCCTCTGCCTGTGGCTACTTCCTTTTTTGACTGGGGATGGATAGACTTCTCATGTCCTTTTCACTATAAAGAGAACCACATACTCTCTCTCTCTCTCTATAGATCTCTCTCTCTCTCTCTCTAGATCTCTCTCTCTCTAAAGGTGTTGCGCATGTGAGGATAATTTTGACTAAAATAACATAATGTGTGCGCATGTGTCGATTTTTTTCTAAATTTAAAATTTCTTTGTTTTCAGTTTATGTGATTATGAGATTTAATTAGCATATACAATATCTACCTACTATTTGTGATTTTAATCTCCTTTAAATTCTCTCTTTAGCTCTCTATGTACTGATATCCCCCCTAAATTGAAAAAAAGAGGGTTGCTCGATCTCAATAAAGACTGGCTATATGCTTGTACTTAGGGCTGAGATTAGGTTGAAGCATACTTAGGGCTGAGATTAGGTTGAGTCGGTCGATTACAGGCCTAAAAAACGACTCATCCAACAAATCAATTTTTGGTAAGCGAATATTTGATTCCGAAATAAGTGAATTGATAGGTGCGTCTGCGTCACCTAGTTCACTTGAAAATAAAATCCAAATTTTGAAGTAAAAGCATGCATATTATGCGTGTCACTACACCATTATCAATTATCATTTCAAAATAATTAATAGCAACTCGACAAAAAAAATACAATTCTAAAATTGGAGAAATTTTTGTGAGCATTTTTTTTAAACATCGGCTTAGGCATAATGTAATTGGTGGAAGATATATGTCAACTTGTTTTGAAGAATTCCAATACTCATCACTTACAGAAATCATACACTTAATCTAGAAATTATTTGAAGAAAACAAAAGAATTAAACTAACATTTCAATAAAAATCTTATAAATATAGTTAATTGGTTGATCGATAATTATCAGTCAATCAACTTTTGATAATATTAGAAACCATAAACCAACTCATTATAAATAGGCTGGTTGAAATTTTCAACTCAATCCAATGAGTTGGTTAAAAAATTTCTTCAAAAAATATAGTCGATAATGGTTCGATTGCTGGATAAAATGCAACCCAGTCCCAACACTACACGTACTTATGACTGAATTTTGTTTTGAAGAAAGAGCACCACCACATCAAAAAAAACCTAGCGAATAGGCTATCATGCATCATCTTCAAAAAGTATAATGGGACTAGTCATTGAGACAATTGAATTGAATGAAAGCTCCTTCTCCTCCTCCTATTCTCCACTATTAATTTCCTTTTTGCCATAAATACATGCCGCAATTGCAGTGTACCTCTCGCTATCTTACATTTTTTTCAAACCCTAGATAGGATGACCAAAAACCCCACCTCCTTCCCTATCAACTTAGACTCCCATAAATACCACCATGACCACATTATCAAAGCTGGATAACTATCAACAAAACTATATATATATATATATATATATATATATATATGCTCATCATAATTATTAGTGTACCATACAAGGTTTGTGTGATACTCAAAACCCTAAAAAAACCAATAATAATAATAATAATAATAATAATAATAATAATAATAATAATAATAATAATAAAACTAATTTAGTTCTTTCATTCCACACCATATATATTTGTATGTATGTAAATATAGTTGTCGTCCCTCAAGTTTGCACCGGTTTCACATTTGGTCCCTCATATTTAAAAAACTCAACACTTTCAGTCATTTTTATCGATATCCTGTTAAAACTATAGAATCGAATGTGTTCCCATCACTACCGTAATTGACGGACTAACGGTAAATTGACGAAAATGACCAAAAATGTCAAATAATTGAAATATGAGGGACCAAATATGTGTTTTGTGAATGTAAGCGACCAAATATGAAATCTGTGCAAACTTGAGCGATGAAAACTGTGAATTTCCACATAAAATTTGGATACAACGCACTTCACTATGTAAAGCAAATTAACAGACAAAAAGATAACTGGGGCTATTTGATCAGTTAGGAACGTCCTTTTGCTCTCTTTGATTGTACCAAGAGCCAATAAGGATATATATATATATATACATATATGCGTGTGTATATATATATATATATATATATATATATATATATATATATATATATATATATATATATATATACACACAAAAGAATGACAAAGCCTTTAAGCATATTTATGATGCTATAATAATTGTACTATGTTTTGCTCACATACATTTGCACTTAGGTCTTTTAGAGGGGGATGAATCATATTCCTCACACAAATCGATACCCTTTGTCCTTTGGCTGCTAGTTTTATGTTTTGCCTTATAATTCATATACTTCCACAATTTTCACACAATTATATTATTGCAAAATGCTAGCTAGTCTTCTTGCATTGAGTACTGCTATCCAATATGGGCTCGTTCGGTTACCGCTATAAGGTTCTACTGACTAAATAGTAGGGGCTAAAAGTATGCCCGGTTGGTAAGATTCACACTTTTTCAAATCCGCTACTAAAATCAAAGTCCGCTATTAAATGCTACTATTTCTGTAAATTAGTAGCACGCCTCCCCCTGAAATTAATTTAATAGGGGTGACTAAAAAGGAAAAAGACAATTTTATCCTTAAATTCATATTTTATTATTGTAAACTAAGTGGTTTTATAGACAATTCATATATAATAACCGATTTTAACAAATTTAATAGAAAATCTAATCTAAGAAACCGAACATGCTACTAACTAAATAATTAATTAGTCAGTAGAAAGTTAATCCAATCTCATGTAATCCAATCTAATCCAATATAGGTAACCGAACGAGCCCTATATATATAAGCCAATTACATTGTATAAGTCGTTTATAAAA